ACAAAATTAAGTACGAACTCTTCCACGTATCAAAATACAATGATATATGAGACCATGCGTCTAATCTATTGTCTTAAAGCCGTAATTTTTAGGTTTCTCTCGAATTAAATTGTGATTGTTTTATTGGAGTGTAAAAATAATGTTAAACTATGTATTAACTATAACGATTAAATCGCTGATGAAAGAGGGTTTAAAAACATACACATTTTGGGTCGCAAAACTAGCAGAGGTATAGGTAAACCTTTTAAATATTATTCGAAACATCTCATACTCATACGAACAATTTATGAATCAATTCATTTTAAAATAAATATTTGAATAATAAATAAATGTAAGATATTTTGTTATATACCATGACAAAACAATTTAAATCTTCAAAATTTAAAAACATCTGTGAAAAGACATTTTGTTCTAATAAAGACTAGCTTAACTCAATATAAATAGGAAAAATACGTTCGATATCGCTCAAACGTAGCTAATAAAAATATAGCCGTCTCTTTCACTTCCTAAAATATTGAGTCTAAAGTATGAGGCCGGATTCAGGGGCTAAAGTGAATTTACGCTAGGTGGGTGGTGTAGGGACAGGAATCGAACTAGGCGAAAGTGTCTCCTTGATAACAGAGTGTCGTCTTAACAGCTCCGTAACCGTGATCGCTACTTGCACAGTCCCTTTGCCTTCGAGAACATCTGCCGCGCAGCACATAAGTTTCTGTAACAATAATAATTCGTATTATATTAAAATGTACTAAAGATATTTAAGGCATTTTTTTATAAGATAATCAGCCTTTTGTGCCTGACATCGTCGATTTAAGGTCTAGGGCCTAAGGATGACATCCCTTCGGATGCCAAGATCCAATATATTTATAACGTACGGGAAGTACGCGTAACGCCAGTGGCGTAACTATACCATCTAGGGCCCGTGGCAATTCTTTTGAAGGGGCCCTATCAGTAAAAATCGTCCCTACTCAGTTTAATTTTAATAAACTTCGAGATTTTCAGCGTACTCAATTACACGTTGTATATGTCCCACTAATGGCCTTAGGCCTCCTCTTTTAATAACATAATATTAGGGGCCCTCTTGGGTCTGGGGTCCCTTGGCATTTTGCCAGCCCTATTGTTACGCCACTGCTTAACGCTGTCTCGTTTCTGAATCTTGCTCAAGCTTTGTTCTAGAGTAAGCACAACTTTGACACCCGTATGTCAAAATCCAATAAATTTTTGACGTACGGGAGTCATATTTACGTCTCAAGTCTAGATTTTAAATATTAACACTTAGACCGAGATATTTTCCATTACAAACAAAATCTATTATACTTACATGAAAAAAAAATAGTTTATTCCCGCTCAAAAACGACCCTTACTTTATATTTTTACCACGAAAACCAAATCAATAAGTTATTTTAAATACCAAATAATGTGTTAGGAAGACAATAAAACAAATTGTAAATGCAATAAGAATTTTTATTCGAGAAAGAAAACACTGTAAGTACATATAAAAGTACATTAAATCTAAAGAAGAATGTCGCAAATAATACATGAGAAAATGTCTTGAACAACTTAAAATAATAAATGCTTACACACTGAAGTACAAAGGCACAAACTGCTTTTGTTAAGAAAGATTACAAAGAAATATAAAAGAAAAATAATCCTTTTCCCTTTAGTATGAGGGCAGTTTTATGTAGGCCATACACACTACGGTCTACCGGAGAGGTCAGGTATGCCTGCGCAGATGGACTCGAAAGAATATATTTTCGATCTTGCGCCGGTCGCCTGCGCAGGTTCAAAAACCTGCACAGGTCTATTCCCACACACATTCCGGTCTACCTGCGCAGGCATACCTGCACAGGTGGACCTCTCCGGTAGACCGTAGTGTGTATGGCCTACATTAAACTGGTTTACTTTAAGAACAGTTCCGTCAAAGCAAGAATATGTTTGTGATTGTCTGGAAAAGATGCACGAAAATTCAAAGTTGGCAAAAGTGTGTCTTATCACATTTGCCACAAGATTCATATTGGCTAAATATGAAATCATTTTTTTTCAGCGCTCATTTATACTTATTAATATATTATCGAGAAAACAAAACTCAAACGATTCATAAACAATATAAATGCCTATAATAAATACCCAAGCACCAAAAAAACTGTACCATAAATTAATATTATATTACTTCCACAAGTTATACTTAATTGTACTCGTACTTTTAAAGCTGAAATCATCAAAAGCTTCAAAATATAGCACGCAAATTATTCATAGAAATCATGCCATCTCGCTCTCAATCAGGCGTAAGAAAGAGAGAGCACGATAACAAAATTTAGTGTTATACACGAAATGTTAGCAACAACAAAATAAGCGTTCGAAGACTTAGTTCCTATTTTACGATATAAATAAATCGACAGTCTTTATATCTTTGGAATGCATTATAAGAGCGAACTTCATTATGCTTATTTATTTATGAATCATTACTTGCATTCCAAGATTTATATGGAATAAATGCGAAATTCGTAAATCAATTGGCTAGTACATTGGCTTGATTAGTATTGTTAATAGTGTCTTTTAAAATATTTATCGAATACGAAAAGCCTCAAAATACAGTCTAAGTTACTACTCACTACTAAAACCGCTTACAGCCAATTACGCGTCTGAGAAGTTATGTAGAATATATAGAATGGTAAGGAAGTTATTATAGTTGAAAATTTTAAAATACTATAAACACGTTCACTGATGCAGAAACTAGATGTTTAGTGGGTTCACGGAAAAAATGGGTTAGTAGGACTTTTTGTTTAACTTTGTACTACTACTTGCCAACTTGAATTCAAAATGTATTATATATTTAAAATAATATAGAAGTATGTTGTAATATATTTGCAGTCCTACCAAACATTTTCGTGGATGTATTAGTTCATTTCCTGATAATAAGACGAATTTATTAGACGATAATGTTAGTTAATTTTAATCTTTAGTACTCGAATAAATCAAGCACTTATGATTTTTGATCCGTTCGAAAACTATAATACCCGCAAGCAATTAATGCAACAATAACAAACGTATGTTTTATTATTTGGTATACAAATACAATATCAGTAAAAGCCAATTTTTACCTCAAAAGACCTATTTAATAAAGCACGTGCAGATACCGGCAAACTTCTTGAGCATTAAACAAGGGAATGGGGAAAAATTTGCGCATCGTACACATATACGTCAACTGATTTACCAATCAGTGGTATCTCCCCACACAATGATATCTAAAAATCGCTTCTGCGCAGGCAAGGACATTAGTTCAAGAAGTATGCCGGTATCTGTACCTGTACGTCACCCTACAAACACAGTACGCGTACGCTAACATATTGTAAACGTACGTACGCGTGTGTCACCCAAATAGTACGCTCTGCGTACATGTCAACTTTAATGAGTACTGACTGTAAAACGGTATACTAACAAGGCATGCTTTTACATACGATATGAATTAAGGCATATAATTCTTATTTAATAAGAAACATTATCTCTATTTGTATTAACCATATACAACGACGAGACATTAAATCTTTATTGTACTCAGGAAGAATTTGTGAAGGATTTTAAAAGGAAAATGGGATAAAAATGGTAATATTATGAATAGTTTGGAAAATAGTAAGTTAGATAATATTAATGCATATGCATAACATTTTAAGTATTTATTCTACTCATTAAGATTAGAGTATCTTTCGCACTGAAAGTCCTCGTAACATTACTTCAACTATCATAAAAATCAACTAGAAAATTTGATGCCCAATTATTTAAAGGAAGGCTAAAGTCAAAGACATTTTTAGCTACCAATTTGATAAATGCACTTAATTTAATCTTACTCTTAATGAACGATTCTGAGTACGCTTGTATTATCAAGCATACGTTTACCATAAGCACTTAAAATGCTAGGCTATAAACAGAAAACGTTCTTAAACCGTAGTAATAAGAGAATAAACGTTTAAATTCGGAAAATTACAAATTGTTTTCTAAATCTGTGCAAAATCTAATTTAAAAAATTGTGTCCCATTAAAAGATTACCATTAAAATCGCATATCCTTAACTTACTGATATCCTATTAGAATAATTTATTAAAATTCCTCTTTTATAGTGCAATAATAATTTGTGATTAATAACGTTTATAATTATTCAATTCACAACTTTAAAAACTTTTGGAACTCAAGAAGAAAATTTAGTCAATTCATTTGCATTCGTAGGAACTTTACATTGGCTTATACACTGTATGTTGTGAATTGTATAATTATAGATATGTAAACGAGACAACACAAATGTAAACAATAATTCTAAATTCAAATCAACAAAACTGAGATCCTATGAAAAAAAAACTACTATACAAACCGACAAATACATTCAATACATTATAAAAATTCCATTCAGAAAAAATGCGAAAAAACAAAATACATAAAAATCATAAATCACAACCTAAAATAAATGTAAATCTAATAAATTCCTTCCCAACATTGCTTTAGCACAATTGTCCGGAAACTAATTTAAAAAAGCAAAAAAAATCTTTCAAATACATTCCGTCAGTCTCAACATTCAGCAGCCTCTCAAGCATCACAGTTTCACTGTTAAGGCAAAAATTTTAACAATCCAAATTTTAAACCAAAAAATACAACATGATGTCTAGATGGCACCCTATTCAAAAATCAAATTTGTTTATTAATTTGGGTTAACGGATAAATCGTTATACAAAGCGTCATTAGAGCGCGCCCACACGATGTGGTAACGGTGCGGTGCGGCGCCGCAACGTACAAATTACTATACATATACGCGTTGCGGTGTGGCAATATATTTTACACCTCATCGGAACGCATCGTGTGACATGGTATAGTAATTTGTACGTTGCGGCACCGCACCGCATCGTAAACGCATCGTATGGCCGCTCTCTTAGAGCATATTTAATTTTATGGCGCAACTGTGTCCTTACCAAGTTTTCAAAAATAAAAATAACTGAAGGGTGCCATCTTAGAGTTAATTTACAAAGGATATAAAATAAGAACAATAGTAGATATCAAAAAGCCTCCGAGGCACAAAGCCGTAAAGAACATCCGATTCTCAAATTCCTTGGCTGTTTCGGGTGCGTTCAAATTCTGCAGATCCAAATTCATTTTCTCCCTGTCATACCTTTGAATAGGAAAGTCAACCTCATCTGTGTCATAGATCTCAAAATTTTCGCTCTGCAGTACACCGTTACAGTATGGTAGGTTTATCCTGTTTAACTCGTCCAGATCTTCGTCGTGTTCATCGAAGGCGTCGGTGTAATTAAAGTTAGCAATATACCTGTCCTCGTTGTACTTTCCCCGGCGTTCGTAATTCACTTCGATATTCCGGTCCGTACCGTTAGGTGAGAATTGCGCGTGTTCCAGGAGCGATGTTACGGTGCACGTCAGAGGTACGATCGAAATTCCCGAATCGAGGTCCGGATGGTGGCACAAAATGTCCTCTGGCGAGCAGATCGCCTCCTGGAACACACGCCACCCGTCTTAGTAAAACGCTTGCGTTATATACGGCCCTGCAAAAAATAAGCGCGCTTACGTGCCCTAAAGTAGCACCAATATAAGTCACGTGCCAAAAACTGTCGAAGCTTTTAATTTATGAAGCATGACTTAAGATAAGTTTGCGAAGTGTAGGGTCTTACGAAAAACACGCGCGTATACGTACAATAAGGTCGAATACATTACGTAAATATTAAATACGTACTACGCGTTACCATGACTGTCGAAGCAAGTAAAATTAAATTGTTATGTATTAGAAATATATCTGAACACTTCATGAAAATTCAAAATAATAATGAATTAATCTTGCTAATAATGATCATGGTATATAGTACATGACATATTGCTAATATATCTTAGCATTATTTAAGTTTCGGTGTACCTCATAGATCAACTACAACTAATAACTTTGCAAATCGAAATATAAGTAAGGGCATAGACACATTTGCAAATCTAAATGTGAATAAATCAAATAAACACACTAGGGTTAGCAACAAATAATTAAACAAGGCAAAAAGAATGAACTCACCTCTTCGACTCCAATTTTCCGACACGCCTCCAAAAAGTTATCCACGTTTCTCCTACATCTAGCCATTGTAAGCTTCGGCTGGAAAACATAAAATTTAATAAAATAAACATTCACATCGTAAGGGGTTTGTCCGTACTCATAAAATCTAAAATAGCTTCACGAAGTATTGGTCTATTTCTGAATTTTTTAGATTTTACGGTGAATTGCACTATATTTATGAAGTGTGTTATTTCGGCCTTATTTACTTAAAGAGAGTAAGAAATAGTATCAACTACAATTATGCAAAAAAAATAGTGTTAAACGCATAACATTTTTTTTATGTATCGAGGCAAACAGGCAGAACAGGGTAATGAATCCAGAGGACTACACCTATAGACACTCACAATGCCAAAGGGCTCGCAAGTGCCTTTTAAGAATCGGTAGGTACCCTATATTCTTGAAGGACCCTAAGTCGTACAATTTGAAATAGGGGAAGAAAAATCATCGGTGTCCCCACAAGAGAATTAACTTATTTGTCATGAGACACCAGCTAGGCTACTGCCGAAGGCTGAGAATAATACACAACTATAGCTGAATATTTTTCACCTATGCGATGTTAATCGCTTCAAGTGCTTTGTTTATTTAAGGTTTTAATTACCATAGTAGTCTTGGAGTGACGTCATTTATTTACCTGTGCAGGTGAAGGTACATGTACAGAGGCGACAGACCGCGGCCTCAACTGGTTCGCCAGGTGACAGAGGACTACGCCATCCGCCAGTACTGGGGCTAACTGTTCTGGCAGGGACATCTTTAGTCGGCTTTCGATTATCTGAAATATAACATAGAAATAATTACAGACTGAATATAATGAGTGGAATTGAAGACATACAAATCGGTCCTGAACTAATGTTTTACTATAACTTTAAAATATACCCTCAATTAGTTTGTTATGTTATTAAATATGGAACAATTTTCAAAAAAATATTTGTTAATTATTGATAGTGTTGTTAGTGTTAACAACGCTTAAGCGTGTAACTCAATTCTGAGTTTGTCCGTTCTAACCCCGCTGTGTACTCATGAAGTCTTCTCTGCCATTATTAAACAATAATTGCTCCTATTAAGAAAATAAATACGGTCAGTAAACCGTGTCTTACATACGAACAACGTGTGTCAGGCACAACAAAAGCCCTACAGATAAACCTCGTATTTGATTTGAAATTTTAAAACAGATGTAATCTAAGGCCAAGATTTTAATTAGACCCAAAAAATATTATCACTAATTATAATTTTATTGCAATCATTTGTAAGTGTTATTTTGTTACTTGTTCTGTTGCCGATGCATTATATTATTATTAAAAAGATAACTGAATTAATTATAAAATATTCTAAATGCATACCACTCTTAACTGATGAAGCAAGTCCGACTCTTCCTTCTGCTTATCGAACTCCCTCTTCATAGTGAAGCTGAGTTTGTCCACCGCATCCTTACTCCATATCTTCGGTTTCGCGCCACCTTTTAAATACGTCGCTGTCAACAATTTCGCCTCACCATTCTGCCTTTTATAACCTAACGTGTTGGTTGGAGATTTTGTGGGTGATGTCGGCTTTGTATACGCGTCGCCATTGACGCGTGCGTAGTCAACGTTCAAGTTAACGGGCGAGAACGTTTTTGCTACGTTTCGGGATGGTACGACTTTTTGTACGGGCCTTTTGTTTTCTTCGATTTTCTCTCCGTTTTGAAACCTGCGTGGGGTGGAATGTAGGAGGGGAGATGTTGGTATGTTATTTGGTGAGTTAGAAGAGAGTGATCTGTTGTATGATACGTTACAGAATCCGTTGACGGGCGAACTGGATTTCTGGAAGTGGACAGGACTTTGGTTTTGGGATTGCGGTGAAGTGTCTAGCTCTGGTGAGGGTTGGTCGGTGCGGGGTCGGTAGACGTCTTGCTGCCGCTGCTGTCTTAAGGCTTCTTTGTATTGTCTGGAAACGAAGACATAAAGATTAGAAGCGCATTATTATTGAAGTGGACTGCCATTTTTGTTTTTAACTGACGCGATTTGAGTGGCAGGCCGACTTTAGCATAACTTTCTTGGGTGTTATTTACAAAGCAGGTCCCAAATACAGCATTGTCAGCGATTCCGAAGTATCCTAAGAACGTTAGAAGCAAAGCACATCCAAAAAGCCATACAGCGAAATGTTTTATGTTAAGTATGTAATATGTATGTAACCCATAATATAATGTTAAGTGTTTTTGTTTTAATATTGATCGGAATATATAGCTCGATCTTTCTGGAAAGTGTAAGTGAAACTTCGAGACAACAGCCAACCTATCTCTTCTTGTCGACGCGACTAAAAATACAGAATCAAATTAATCATGACCACTTTTAGCAAGACGGTTTTATCATTAAAATTATTGTAATTATAATTGCGTCTTTATTATAACGCGGATTTTACAATGCGCAAAAATTCCAAGTCATCAGTCCTGCCTTGGCGGTCATGGTAATCCGGATTAACCGACCAAAAAAATCAGGAAGGTTCACTTTACCAGCAACGCACATAGCACATCAGCGTACAAATTCGTTAGTACCATGCAACATATATACAGTGCGATGTATGTGCGTAGTGCATGAATAGTACCTGTATGTCTGTTGATGAGCTAATTTACTCTTATCCTCGCCGTTCCCTTCGGGTGAAATACGGATGCTGAAAGGGACAACACCGGGGGTTAATAAAGGGGGATGAATACAGTAGGCTCCCGTACAATACTTCATAGACTTTCGCGATTTTATTGAAGACGAACTCTCAGACTTCTTATAAAACATTGTTGATAACTCAATGATTTTAAGTCTAGACTTTTAAAGAGGGTCTGTTGCGTTGCTATGGCAACCACACTGATTTCAGCGTATGTAAAAAATGATCTTACATGAGAATGCAGATAAAGTTCGTCGTTATGTCACCAATATGGTTTAAACTACGTGAAATCCAATACTAAATATATTAAGGAAAATTCAAGTCTTGTACGTGACTCTACTGCGCATGAGGGGAAGAATGGAGATGACAACGTTGGTAACTTAAATAATTTACCTCTGTTCCCGTCAATGGTAGAAAAATAGAACAAAATCAATAATAAGCTACTGTCCAATGTTAAATCACCCATATCTAAAATAAAACTCACTTATATGAATATATTCTACAACATATAAGATCTATATAAGTAAAATAATATCGCTAAATATAACAAATATATTTTCTACTAAGTATTTAATATAAGGAAAATAATATCCCAACCCTTAAATCCTAATGTTAATTAAGACAATCATAAAGTCAAGAAACCACAATAAGAAGCATTTTCCTTCCTCGCGGTTTACATAAATTCCATATGAAATTGCTATTTAGATTTTAGCTTCACTAGCAAACCAAATAGCTGGATCAAATATAGACGCTTATATCTAATATGTATAACTGCGCAGTAAACAATTCTGGTCCAGTAGTTTTAATGTAATATTTACACACCTTTATCTTTTAGGGTTTATAAATGCATTTTACATTTTTCTTAACTGTAACTTGTACGTACTCAATATTGTATAGTACGTTAGATTTATTGTATTTTTTTTATATTTATTTGAAAAGCCGCTTAAAAATTTATTCATAGAAATTAACTCACCCAGTAAGGATAGGTGTCAATGGTGCCAATGGAGATTCGCTGGACAATGACTGGGCTCTGGATAGAGCAGCCCCGGGTGACAAAGTCGATGGAGTGCTCGGCGTCGACCGACCAGATCCACCGCCTAATTCACCCGCTAGAAAGAGACGGATATATTTTAAGTACACCTTTCAAGCATTAAAAAATAACCTGAAATATAGTGAGAATATAATACAAAAGACAAAACAATGAAGGATCTCGTTTCATTGGTCAAACGGAAAGACAGGTTGTGTGTCTATGCCATTCAGTTAAAATTAAATCTAGTTTCCACAGCTGTCAATTTAATATACAGTCATTTCATTAATCACGAAGTTCGGCATATTTGTTAGAGCTCAAGACGAGATTATGATTTGAGATACGAATTAGTATATGATCCTAAGATTGGTTAAGAGCTTGCTTTTGCTTTAATCCCCTTTTAATCGAAGATACATTTAATATTATTTCCAATTGATAGTCGTGGTTATATCCTACCTACTTCTAGGGCGAATTTTACAGTAGACCAAAATAATTATTGTATGTATCAGGGATGCTTGTACAGACTTATTAACTTAAGGAAAAATTAAATTAGCTAGTTTGTAATAATAAACAACCTACAACATAAAAAAATATGAAAATTAATAAATATCTTATGTCATAACTGTTATTATTAAACTAAATAATATAATAGCTACAAATATATACGAAAATAGCAATATCATTTTACGTTAAACTTTGCTGGATACTACAATAATTAATTATTTTATGTATCTATTATAAGGTAGTAAAAAAAAATTAACTCAAGGTAATTAAATAACTGAAGTCTATTGAACAACCTAGTAAACTATTTCAACTAGCTAATCACGGCCCGGATAGCTCAGTCGGTAGAGCATTGGACTTTTAATCCAAGGGTCCAGGGTTCAAGTCCCTGTTCGGGCGGCCACTTTTTTATTTTTTATATTCTTAAGAAAACACTTCGTTTTACTATTTATGTTTTTTTTCTTTAATCATAAAAAAACTTACCATCATTGGACCATCGCTTATCAACGCCATCTGTGCTATACCCGCTGTCAACTACATGTCTGGGTTTATGCCTAAGGCAATCTATGGTAGCGTTACCCGATGATATCATCTGCGTTTGTCCCGGCGAGTTGAATGACGTATGCTTTGTACCGCGGCGTGTTTCTTCTACCCTTCTATGTGTGAGTGAATCCTTATTCGCCATGTTATCTAAGTATTTGAATATGTGCACGCGCCCGCGCATGCATATCTGAAAAAGTAATAATATACCATAATTTTAGACTTTGTTTTATGTAGTGACAGACAGTATACATTTAATATAAAAAAAAAGATTTTTTAATATAATTACTAATTTTTATAATAATTATTTTTAATCTTAAAAATGAAATCAGAAAATATTATATTCATTTCATATTATTTAAATATTAAGTTATAGCAATCCATTTGATCTTTTAATTTTAGTATTGTATGTATACAGTTCCTTTAGTATCCTACATCCATACTACTAATCGTGATCAAGTGTCCGTTGTTACCATGGTTACGATTCGTTCCTGGCGATGGTGATAGGCCAAAGTTATTTAAAAAAATTAAGGCATAATTCAGAAATTAATTAATTAATAATTAAAATAAAGTGAATACTAAAATACAATGTTTAAGAAATGTGAAAAATGTTAGGACAGCATCTTTGTCAAAACAAAAGACTAACATAATGGTACTTGATACAGTTAGGTCGATTTTAACGAGATCAGCTTGTCATTGAAGACAAAGCGGTATCTTTTTTTGTGTACATTCTTGATAGAAACAAAAGCCATTGTTTTAATTAATTGCCAAATAGGATCACCATACAGAGTTTATAGAAAAAAGTAATAACCACTATACATTTAATTTTTATCAAACACGAGGTCTATCAATACAAATAAAAAATATCGTTATTAAATACTTTTGAGAATCGGTTACATTTTTTAAAGGAAATTATTGAACGAAGTAAATAAAAAATAATATAGTTTTATATTCATCGATACAGAGAAACAATAGGACATACAAAAATCCTCCTAATACTATTGCAAAGTATTTGCTTTTTTAGAAGGGTAACTAGAACTTTGCGACAGGATTAATGATGCATAGCGATTTATTACTAAGTATCCTAAGGCGCACATTAGCGTGACAAGCTGTTTTTTTAATGCTGCAATGTGGAGTCAAACATTACAGTAAGATTTATAATTGCTATCATTATAAACCTAATATACAAACTATATGTTATTATTTTTTATGCAGCAAACGCAAACGAGCGGGAGGCTCACCTGATGTTGAATGATACCATAGACACTCACACTGCCATAAGGCGTTACGGTCTTTTAATAATTGGTATGCTAAACTTTCTACTGTGTTATATTTGTATTTTTAATTAAATAGATGATTTAACGGTACTTATAACAATGTGAAAATTTGTTCTTTACTCGGGGAATTAATTCTTTACACGAGTTATGTAACCTAACATGACAAGAATATATATAGTATATTTTTGTTAATAATTATAAGCGTAAATAAAATGTAAGCAATCATCGCACACTTGAATTCAATATGAGCCCTTAAGTATTTACCACTCATAAATTGTATTCTAACATTCTCGTTTCCGATAATGTCCAATAGACAATAATATAAGTGTCACTTAGATTTACGAACTCTTCAATAAGTAAAGTTAGTTTATTGTTAAACCATCGTCGCAACCCCACTACCCCTAAAGTATTCGTAGTTATAAGCTCATATTTTAAACAATTAAAGCCAAGCTTCCGTCCTGCCCTTCAGGCGATTGACCACCCCGCGACGGCCCAAGCCGAGGTCCAAGTCTCACAGGAGACCACCATTCCGGCCGAGGTACGCTCGCCAAAACTGCCAGAGCTGAGCTGTAAAGTCCCTTAAGGCCAACAGCGAGATTCCATTCCAAAAAAATAAAATAAACCCAACTGTTCGCGCCTTAAAACAAAGTGTTTATTGGAACATACCAATACAACAACCGCCACCAAACTTCAGGGTAAAAATATTAAAACAAGACAAGGCCTCATTCGTCACAAAACTTGCCTCAAGTGTTTACTTACAGTTGTAGGTGGTGAGACTAGAGGATTATTTTCCAGGTTCAATGTGATGATCGTTGACATATTGCGTAGTTCCAGAGGCAGCGAAGAGATACAATTACAGCTTACATCTAGGTGTTCCAGGCGGAGGTATGTGATTTCTGAAATATATTTACTATCTTTTATTTCCGGTACCACATAGTATTTGTAGCTGATTAGCTATTTTGTAACAATATCTCTAAAAAAATGTGATACAGCAAGATACAGTAACCCAGGCATCACTTTCGGCCTTGGTGCACGTAGTCTTAGGGGCAGTTTATTACGTATGTACGGGCCAAGTATTACGTAACCACTATAAGGGGGAGGGGGTCTTTGACTTTCTTATTTGGTGATTACGTCAACAGTAATTATTTACTTTTTACACAAATTACCCACACATTGTCTATGCTAGAAAACGATTTTCAAGGATTCCTACAAAAAAATCATGTAATATTTTTATTTGTAGGTATCTTTGCTGACAAAGGTAGGGGGAGAGGATAAATTGCAGTAAGTATATTAGACCAAAAACCTAATCATTTTGATAGATATTTAATAGGTCAAATTTGTTTTATAGAAACACATACATAGCATTTATCTTTACATACAACCTACATACGTTATACGTAAGATGTTCCTTTATAAATTTATTAATTAACAAAGCCCGGATACACAATTCCGCTTATGCCCTGCGGATGTTCATGGGCGACCGTAATTTCCTTTGCAATCAAGTTACGCCGGGTCTATAGTATACTTTAAGTTACTTATATTTAAAATATATCTCAACAAATATTGTATGTAATAAATTCTATCGGTCTTATTTATAAACGTATCTTAAGCTTCAAATAGTTATAAATAATGCTTGGTTTAATCTTCCATGTTTACCCTTACCAAGAGTTTTAACTCAGAGTCCTGAGTGCTGCATCCCGTATGACAATACATCCCGTATGACAAAAATGTATTAGATTTTAAAAAGACGTCTTAGTTACCGCTTAGTCTCAACTCTTACCCTAAACCATTCATATAATTCCATTAATAAAAACCGAATCACTCTAATTAAATGCCATGCTTTACCAAAAACTATCCGTCTGTTTTCATCATAGCGCAAATATAATTCCACAGAAAGAGACAAAAGCTATAAGGAGGTTATTCTCTAACCGATTCCACAGACTACCACCCGCAAACTAGGCTTTCCGAAACTCTTGTCAAGTTTTAAATATGCATCGATCGATGCCGTCAAATGTCAAACTACGTACAGAAAATATATTTGAAAACTTAAACTAGATTTAATTTTGCGGATTGCGGTTCTAGAATATACATAATATATATATTTCTGTCTGTAATAGAACTCCTCCAAAATCATTTAAGTCGTGATACAGGACAACATCTGTCAGGTCCGATATTAGTTTACCTACTATAGAGATGTGTCGTACTCGGTAAAAGACAGATCTAGTCTTAGAAGTACAAGTACTTAAAAATAACGATAGATACAAAGAATAGTTCCACGAGTTTTTGGCTATATGTTCGAGCTTTCGTTTAGTTCACAAATACGAACCATCGCGCTCGAAATTTCCAAACAATAATTACATAAATTCCTATACTTACGTAAAGGCAAAAGACCCAATTGATTATTGCTTAGATTCAGACAGCGTAACCCTGTGCAGTCTCCCAGCGTCATTGGCACCTGTGTCAGCCTGTTATTTGACGCGTCCAGTTCCGCCAGCGTCGTCATCTTGCCGATCTCCTTCGGCAGAGTCATCAGCAGGTTGTCTGGCACGAGAAGAACTTGAAGTGGCATCTGACATACTTCACGCGGTAGCTCCGTGAGCTGGTTTGAACTGGAATGGGGAGGAAAGAATAAATAAATAACAATTGGTGTACCATAGACAATTATTGTTTAAGGAAATGTCTATTGGGTGTTTTCTCTGTGTTAAAATAAAGAGGACACAATTTTTCTCTATATATAGGATTGTAGCACCACTGAATTCTTGAGACTACTTGAAAGATTAGGCTTACAATACGTATAGGAATCCACAAAATACCTACTACAGATTAAAAAAAAATTAAACCTTATTCTAATTACATAAAACACACTAGGACATTCCTGTGTTATGATCAGACTCCGGGTGCAATAACGGAACGAAAACTTAGTACTAAAATATGCCGTAAAAGAATATCAAAATAAAAGTATCTAAATCAAAAATATTAGATAATTTTGCGTATTTGAAAATGCTTCCGTCTCCGTAGATTGTCTACCTCAAACTAACAGTAATAACTTTCTGTAGCTCCGTAATCAAGCAAGCCTTTTGACCTTTTCAGTAATTTGTGTCTCGAAAACCTCGGAATTATCCATATGTATAATTTTGTTGTGAAGGAAGGGACCTCTGAACTGGGAGACAATGCGTCTTTTTGGAATAGAAAATAATGTCTGTTTCTAGATGGGTGCCTTTTTGCCCGGAAAGCAATTTTATGCAATTATGCAAGAACTAAAGAGAATTAAATTAATTAGAAGATTTTTTTCTACGGTTTAGAGTTGGATTAGAAGACTTTCTTCTATGGTTTGTTCGAGGAGTCTCACTGTGGAGTATCTAAACAGCTTCCGAAGAGCAACATTAAGGAGGAGACTGCTATTTGAGATGAACAAGTATGTTCGTAAGATTTTCGGTTTAGATCTTAAAAAGCCGGCAACGCACTTGCGAGCTTGCCTATTTGTCCCTGTTCTCTAGAAAAATGTATTTTCTAATAAGTAGATGTAATAACTCCTTCGGTGTTTAAAATTAAGAAATTAAAATTATTTTAATTATAAAGATATCTAAATTATACTATATGGTGGATCAGAAAACCTATCAATATAAATAATACTCGACTCCTTGTGCATCATATACAAGTATGTAACGCCTATAAAACTGATGATAACACAAATACATGCACCTCATCAGTAGCTATTTATAATCCAAGCATCTTATTCTCTGAACGTGATATTTTATCATCAATTATATTGATCATATATAGTGCCTATTGGGGGCACTTATGAACGTCAGTAAAATAAAAATAGATTTACTTTAAAACGTATTCTCGTAAGCATATAGGATAGTTAATGGTTTTGATAAATGGACACCATATTTATCCCAAATTTAACTTAAGTTTTAACAACATTGTATGTATAAATTATTATTGTAACTTGACCAGTCTACACGTATTTGTTTTAGTTTTTAGAAGACCCACATATAAATTGCGAATTGAAAAGCATTTCTGCGTCTCTTTTACTGATGAAAACTTTTAATCGAAACAATTTGTTTAGGGCAACCCTAACAAATATATTTCAGTCACATCTGGAGTACTGTGCGCGCGACAGATGCTGGGTGGTAATAGAGAACTTTTAAAGTATCGATAACCCGAGAATCACCCCTCAGGAACCCACTTCAATCGCGTGTTATGAGAACGAGCGCGTAAATCGTTCCACGGCCCGACTAACACTTTAGAGCTAACATCTTTTATAAATAGATGTTAATTACAAGCGCAGTAGGCACAGTGATTTTTATGATTACCAGCGAATTTCTGTATGTAACAAACCAGTAACGAGTAGTTCTATATAAAATCGTAATATTGTTTTTTATTGGATGACGCCGAGTGTGTTGTTCGAAATTCAAAAACTTTTAATATTTTTGAATTTCGAACAACAGCTTGTGTTGACTTGTCACTATGTATTCTTAAAATAATAATTAACTAAGCTCATGTTGAATTATTGAAGCTGGGAACGTCCTTATTTCGTATGGAACAATCGGAAACGCTTTTTTACCAACTACAATTCGTTCAGTCTACCTTTTGTGTGCCTTTCATAAAAATATTTTTGAGACATCATTAGCCTATTATGGAAATGTAGGCCGACCCATCGCCAGGCACTGAAATACTGAATGTACGAACTGGAACATTAAAAATAAAAATGCCTCTATTCGGATAATAGAGTATTGACAATGATATTATCATCTACCACGGTTTCCATAACATGGACACAATTCTGTCAGATTACTGGACCATCCTCCTTAATACCTCAAAACTTTCCCAGTCCACTTCCATTTCAGCTTTTTAACAGCCTCCGAACACTGTAAATGCGATAGAAGATGCCCACGCCAAGTCCCCACATATCTACGCAACATCAAGCCTGGGAAAGTGACAGGTCGTCGACGATACGAATCGCTCTTAGTTGAATACGGTCAGGTGGAAGGAGCTGGTACTGGGGAGCTCCCGTCCAGAAGTGAGAACTGTACTCCATGTGGGGCCAAATTTGCGCTTTATGGAGTTTGGAAGCTATGGCCCGGTGTGAAGTACTGTCTCGCCTTGCTGAGCACACCAAGCTTCTTGTGGATAGTATGCATGAATCTAATAATTTAGATTTTATTGAACCACTTTTATTTGTTCATAACTTCATAGTCCGCAATTGTACCACCCAAAATTATTGATTATACTTTTCTATATTTAAATGTTATGAAGTTAACACGTAACAAATAAATAACAAAAACAATTGCACTACGACTACGACGAAGGTTTTTTTTTAAAGTAATTTGAATTGAAAGTTTTACAACGAATTTTTCAAGCCTCTTAAGAAGTGACAAGACATCCCTTATAGTTATTAACAATACATTTGTAAAAGAAAGTGGGCTAATCGCAATACATTTGCAAGTTTAGCTCGTGTCGCAATAGCATAATGCCATGAAGCCTGTTAACATCACAACTAAAGGTCGAATACTAAACGCATCCTCTCACCTTGTTATTGAAGAAACATATAAAAATAATACAAAGGAACTATTAAAATATAGCAAGACACAAAAAACATACGTCCTCGAACAAGAGATGCTTGTCAGAGCAAAAAAAGATGCAAATGTAACAGTCAATAGATATATAAGAGATCTATGTGAAGAAAAGGAACTCAAAGTGATTCTGTAACTTTCAATAGCAATACCGATAGTAATCCCGATCCCAGTGATGACTTTTTGTTTTGGTCGATCCCAAGGTCACATCAGCACTACGAATATTGAGAGAACTATTTAGAACTAGCGAGCAGTGTCATGGATGAGACGTGTGCACAATAGTCCCTCGTACTGTGACACAAGCCGGCGTGCGTCAGAAAGTCACTTGCCTATTAGAAAAAACAAATGATTACGAAATAGTTACATAAATTTAAGGCTTTAAAAGCCACCACTGTTTTTTACATCAAAAACCTCGGTATCAGTTACAGAGTATGGGCGCTGACCCATCTTGGGGTGCACCTACTGCTGTAGAAGAAAGTAAAATACGAAGATTTCATCATCGGACGTCAAGGCAGAATAACAAAATTCCACCCGTATCACCGTGACGTCCATCGTTCCACAACTGAGCGTTATTAAGGCACATTATGCCGCGCATCACGTCAATTTGGAACCAGCTATCCACTGAAATATTTCCAACCAATTCGACGAAGGGATCATCAAGGAAAGTGCATACCAATTCTTAAAATTCCGGTAACGCACTTGCGATTCTTCTGACAATGTGAAAGTGTGCATGGGCGGCGGTATCACTTAACATCAGGTGAGCCTCCTGCCCGTTTGCCCACTGTTATATTAAAAAAAAGATATTGTGACTAAATGGAAAACCTACACCAGTACGATAATACAAATGTCTTAAGTGTAAGAGAACTCATACAAGTCAAACGCGTTGAAACTTAAAACTATTTGCTAGAAGGAATTAATTATAATAATTAAACCTTTTACCCTTTAAGATGTGATGGCAATAGATGAGAATGATTATACGTTAATAGAATCACAATCTTGCAATTTCCTTATTAGGTATATTAAAAAAACATTCACATCCAAACATCCGTAACGTAATCGTAACATGAGAATAATCATTAGTTTTTGTAATACTTAACAGATTCGTTAAGTAATTCGAGCCAATGAACATGTATCAAATTAATTGAGATGGTTTTGTAATTTAGCATATCGATGACAAGAATTACACTCACTCAAATTAAAATCACTTATTAAAAACCTAAATCTAATGACAGTGTTTTAACTTAACTTTTTCTGTTTCAGCGTCAAGAGACGAATTAATACTTTATTGAAACTATTTTTCATACTTAAGAGTGACAATGTTTCTTGGCGATTAAAAAGAGTGGCGGAGAGTTTATTGCCAGTAATTCTCGTACGTTCTACGCCCTTGAGAACTGACAGTTAATGTAAAATTAGAAGCATTTAATATATATTTCTATTATGAGGTTCATCAGTGTACATTGTGTTACCTATGAGCAAATGATTTTGTTTTTTTTTGATTCCAGCATAAATCTATAGTGCTAGTCATTATTTCCAAGTACCTGTAGCATGGACACATACGATATAAATACAATTAATAAACGTTATAGAACAAAAAAAAATCGCATTTACTTGAACATTTCTATAGTCCTCAACTTGAATAATGAATTACAAATATCATTCACAAATGTATGGAGACCGCTGTGTTCATTCCGCTAAGAATAAAATGATTGCAAGAGTTTGTTTTAAGGAACAACGGTTATAACATAAATATTAATATCAATATATCCACCTTCAGAATAGTACAGACGTATCTCAAAAAATCATTATTTTGGGAAAACAAAAATGAAGTTTAGAATCTAAACTTTCAACTTTGAACTGATTTAATTAATTAATTTTGTATGAAAACATATCAATTATTTGATTTCTGTATTAACTTAAGTATATCTTTTGTGAAATATGAGCAAAAAAAATAGTATGTTGCATTATTTTTAATTAAAATTAAGGTTTTTTAAAAGGTTCCCAATTTAAGTCAGTATTATACTGAAACTGTATTTTTTAAAAGACCGTTTTCGTCTTAGGTCTCTTTTATTCTGAAATCATTGTACTCTTTTTGTCCTATTTATGAAAAGTGCACTACAAGTATAAACTGAAAATATGCTGTCGTGTCACATAAGGAAATAAGTCATTTTATATTTTAAAAAATCTTGAAATTATACACTTTTTTATTTTTAAAAGACTTATATTAAGTCACTTTGGTACAGACAATAAACCTAAAATATCAAAAAACTTTAATTAATACCTTATACCTATACCTATGTAAATAAATTGAATCATAACAAAAAAAACTCCTTAACATGTTAACATTTTAAATAAATCAATACTTTTTTAATACAGTGCTATTTAAAACTAAAACCTATAGCAGAAGAGCCTGTTATACTTATAAAAATAATTATTAAATAATGTTATTAAAAATCAGCATAATAATGAGGTATCAATTATGTCAATCAAGGAACGTAAGTCAGTTTTTTCCTCTCAATACCCAATCTTTGGGAGTTGCTTTGGTCATAGAAATTTCTCTTATATCACTCATCTTCTTCCTTTTGTTTCTCATGTTTACCTTGTTGAACTCATTTTGACTATAAGATGTCTTATAGTAAAACGTAAACTATCATCTTTCGTAAATTTAAGAATTTTTACATCATTCCAAGTCACATTGGCTTTATTTTCATTTTCACTAAAGTTATAAGCCCATTTCTCTTGAAACATCTTTAAGTCCCAAAAAAATCATACGTTAATTCTTGAACAATCAACGGTTTTTCCGTTTTTTCGCGAATTTTTTATTAAAGTGACTATTGACAAGGTGCGTATATGGGTCCACCTTTTTATTCCGTTGGATTTCCTTTTCAATGAGGCTGTGGACGTTTCCCCTTCATTTGGGTATGACCCTTTATTAGGTACTTTTGGGTTATAGACTGGATGTTCTCAAATTGATACTGCGTAGGAATATAGCAAGCTACATATTTATTTTTGTTTTGTCCGCAGCAATTGTCGGAATAAAACTAACGTGAATGGCCTACCCTATGTCTTGCATTTAAAATCTCCAAATAATTAAGAACCTCCATCTCGCTAATCCGCGTTTCCCTAGTTTCGTCCCAGAAAAACTGTAACGTCTCCATAAGCTCCAATATCACGTTTGTGTACACTTTCTGTATTTTCCTCCAAATTGTTGTCTCTTTTCTTTAGTAATTCCACGATTGTAAAGTTGAGGCAATTCAGTTTTGTTTTGTAATAGAATGAAGACGAATCACCGCTAGACATTGCATTACTGCTTGCAGGTCGAACACTGCACAAATATGGGTTTCATCAATGTTGAGTCGATCATTATGTTTCTCTTTTCGGGATAAATCTTTTTCTTTTAAATGACATCATATTTTTCTTTTAGTTGTAGTTTTTTTCTGGAGAAACTATTCATATTCAAAACATAGGTCGCATCTGTCTTTCTTGGGTTGGAAAAATCCAATATTAAACTCTTTTGTGAAAATGTCATAATATAACCAATATTCACATGTAGCTTTTCCTCGTCGCGTTGATCTTTATCAAAATCTCTCCAAAGATCCATTATTGTTTTCTCTCCACCTATATATTCGCGAGAAGTTGAAGACCTTAAATAATGCGATTCAATCCTTGGTATCCAATTAATGTGGTTCTTTATATCTTGTAGGATTGCTGGTTCTATCCTTGTTCTATTCTGGTTTTTACCTCGAGTTATCTTTCTCTATGAAACCTTGCGCATCTGTCTTCTTTTTAACAGTTCTTATTTGCCTGTCACATATACCTAACGTGTTTATAAAAAAAGTTTTGCAAACTCTAATTTTAGTATCATTAACTGTAAAATAAAATGCATTATTAGGCTGTCTTGGTCTAGCTGCATTTGTGTATTTATATTTTGGTTTTACTTCTATCATGCAATTTCTAACAAAAGATCTCTTAATTCTACGTTTCCTAGTGCCCAATATTTTTTTAAATAATAGATTTCTATCGATCTCATTTATGTTATCGACACATTTGACTCTACATTTGCTGGTACATGGATCTTTTATTGAACGAGCAGGAACAATTTTTTTAGATTTAGTGTTAGAAACATATTCTTTCCCAGTATTTCGCAAAGTTTTTGCAACAATTTGTTTCCAATTGTTGGGATTTCGTAGACGTTTGCGGGATTTCTTTGGACCTTTCACAACAGAAGCATTAACATTTTCGGGTTCACTGTCTGTAGTATCAGATGATGAGGAACTACTCGACGCAGATACTCTACTCACCCCCAAACGTGAACGAGCTCTATTTGAATACGAAGGGTCATCGTCACTCAAGTCTGCATCACTTTCGTTCGAATGAATAGGCGATTCACAATAATTTTTAGGTGGCTTTGTAGTGTTACGATATGTACCTGTAGAGGTTGAGGGTTCACCTATATTTGTATTCGACTCAATTGTGTTACCATTATGGAGCGGGCTACTGCGACTGGAGGAAGATGAGCTACTTGAGCTAGAAGACGAGGAACTCTGGACGATGACTTGCTGCGAGCTCGCCTAGGCAGTTCATTTTCTAGTTGGTTCTGTCCCTTGTACATTTCAGAATGTCCACTTCATCTGCCACAGGTTCCTAAAATGTAACATTTTAAAATGAATACTTAGTTAAAATTATGTGTAATCTCATGTGTCTACATCATGTGTGACTCTAATGTCTTAAGTATACTACGTACACTTATTTAATAAAAAAAACATTAATTTATTTACCGTTACAATGATTTTATGTGTAGCTTCTATTGGCTGAGAATGGCATTGTTCAGTATTAACCTGAAAGCATAGATTATTAAATAAGTGAGTATGCAATTTATTTCATGGCATTAAATAATGATTTACGTAATGAGGACCAACCCTAGGTATGTTCCTTTTGCCATCGCAAAGTTCGTGTGCTGATTTGGTAACAGCACTATTTTTTCAGGTGTGCCTTCTATTATTGATGGACTAATGGCCAGAGGTATCGCTTTCATACTCATTCTGTAAACATCATAACCACTATTAACCTTCTTAAACTGGGTATACCTACTACCGTACCTACTTAGTTATAAAACTAATAAGAAAATTATGGGAAAAATAAAAAATAGGAAAATAATTAACATTTAGTTACCTAGTCAACTTTCGTTTTCTTTGCTCAATAGAATGAGGAATGTTCTCTTTATTAATTTCATCCTGTAACGATAAAGCACAAAAACATAAACATTTCATATCCTACTTACTGTGATGCATTTCCGTAAAAACAATATCAACAACAGGAGTACCACAAACCCGTACATTTCCGCATTTGGTCCAAGGCCAACTTACATTTTGTATTGCATGTACACTCCACCTGAAAGCAAAATTACGATAACTGTTAGAAAACCACTAAATGCAATTAGTGTATGTAAACATAAAGAAATAACCTCTTTTTGCTTATTTATTTGTAATTTCTCAAATATTAAGTCTCTCTTCTCTTCATTTTTATTCTTATCTGAAACAAACAGTCTACTAATATAGTTTAGTAATTGGTATTTAGGAAATACAAGTCCTAAATCTTATTAAGGAAAGTAAAACTCCCATATTATATAATTATAAGGACTCATTTAATAAAATACTCATTTATTTGTCGGCAAATTAGTGTAGTAATACACATTTTGATGTAAAATGTATTGAAGTCCTTGGTTTTATTTTTAAAAGGGGCTCAATTCTGTTTAGTGCTTGTCACTTTCTTAGTTTTAAGTATTAAAGGGACCTAATTACAATTAGTCCTTATGTAAAAATCAAAATCGGTAATAAAAAACCTAATATAAAAAAAGTCTCTCTTATACTGAAATTAGAAGTTTACTTACCCGTTTGTTCAGTACACAAGTGACTTATTACGTTTTAGGTCAGTTCCACTAATAAACTTGCGACGACTTGTTCACTTTAGTTTCGATGCATCACTGATTGCGTCGCTACCGACCGAGCGGGCGGGTAGAGGGACGGAGTGCGAAAGAGACCGAAGTATCGTAATCTTTATTCTAACATAAAAACGCCGCTTCTTTATTATTCACCTAAAAGTGCGTACCTTTAGTGACCCTCTATGACCGTAACTCAATTTCTTAGATTTTTGAGTTAAGTCACTACTATTCTGAAGGTGCGATATGTTAAACAATTTTGTTATTTTGTTATTTCGGAGCGAGACTTTACAACAGCTTTCCTCCTCGGTTACGGGAAATAGTAGCAGTGGACAAGTTTCGAATACGCCTGTTATAAGTTTTTGGTAGATGGACTCTGATGCAGTATCAGTGTACGACGCGTCATATACGTATGTGTAGGTATATTTATTATTACTTTTCTCATGTAAGTGACATGTTTGTTTTTAATCAGAATAAACTTCTTTAAACCTAACCAGAAGTGCCTGTTGCATTTAACGATTATGATTGTTTAAGCTAATTAAATTTTTACAACTGTTATTTTATAACACATATCCTTATATATAAAATAT